TACCACATCTTCTTTATCCATTCATCCATCAATGGACATTTGGGCTCTTTCCATACTTTGGCTATTGTTGACAGTGCTGCTATAAATTATTGGGGTGCATGTGTCCCTTCGAAACAGCACACCTGAATCCCTTGGATAAATGCCTAGTAGTGCAATTGCTGGGTCGTAGGGTAGTTCTGTTTTTAGTTTTTTGAGGAACCTCCATACTGTTTTCCAGAGTGGCTGCACCAGCTTGCATTCCCAACACACTACCAATATTTTAATTTTTTTAATGTTTATTTTATTTTTGAGAGGGAGAAAGGCAGAGCATGAGCAAGGGAGGGGCAGAGAGGGAGGGAGACAGAGGATCCAAAGCAAGCTACAGACTCTGAGCTGTCAACACAGAGCCCGATGCGGACTCGAACTTATGAACTGTGAGATTATGACCTGAGCTGAAGCCGGCGCTCAACTGACTGAGCCACCCAGGCGCCCCTTAAATTAATAAATCATAAATAAACACTGATTATACTCTTAATTCACATTTAAAAAATCAAATGCAATGCTCCAGATATATTTTAGAGTTTGAAAAAAAATTTGGGTTCCATATGGTAATGGAAATCTACTCAAAAGCAACTCTACATTGCAAAAGATATTGGCACAGTCATACATCTTACCAACTGTCAGTTCTAAGAGAGTTCTCCACAACAAAATAGCAGTGCTTTGCAGTAAGCCTGCACTCTAAGTAGTTATTTTCTCAGCTAGCTGGTAGACAGACTTCAAAGCACAACTCCAAGGAAAATACTTCAAATTTAAATATCCACAATTGAACATATGAACAAATCTGCTTTATGTTTATCTGACTCACAGGCTACCTAATATTTTAAATTTACTTTACTTCGGTTGCAAATCCATTTGACTCCTTGTAAAAGTAAATTGTGAAAACGATGGCACAGATTGTGCTGCTCAACCAAAGCAAGCAGGCCTTAAAGAGAATTAGAGACAAAGAGAAACACAAACAGTTATTACAACCATCAGTTAAAATGCAGCCCATAAAAGAGGAAGGAAAGGACAGAAAAAAAAAAAAAGAGAAAGAAAAGAGATGGATTATATAAAACTACTCACTCCGAAGAGAGGAAAGAAGTAGACCATGTTAACTAAAGGTAAATAGAAAACTGTACACTCCTTAGACAAAGCCAAAGTTAATGAAGTATGAATACTTAACCTAATTTATTAGCTGAAAACAAGTTGGGAGGTCAAAACTATAAAAATGGCCAGCAATGACCTAGATTTAGATATACAAATTGCAATACAACGATCTAAAACTTTATCACAGTTGAAATACTACTTTGAGTCTTATTTTCCTTTTTTCACTTGTTCTGTGCAATATGGTGAAATTAACTCATTTTGTTGTTTAAAAATTAATAAATCTTATAATTTTGGGTCTCTCTCCGTCTCTCTCAAAATAAACATTAAAAAGGGGGGGGG